TCACCAGGAAAGGGGATTGATTGATCATCACTAGGAAAGGGGATTGATTGATCATCACCAGGAAAGGCAATTGATCATCACCAGGAAAGGGGATTGATTGATCATCACCAGGAAAGGGGATTGATCATCACTAGGAAAGGGGATTGATTGATCATCACCAGGAAAGGGGATTGATTGATCATCACTAGGAAAGGGGATTGATTGATCATCACCAGGAAAGGGGATTGATTGATCATCACCAGGAAAGGGGATTGACTGATCATCACCAGGAAAGGGGATTGATTGATCATCACTAGGAAAGGGGATTGATTGATCATCACCAGGAAAGGGGACACAGCCCTTAAAGGTGGCACCGAGCCACATCCCACAGCTCCAGGGCCACCTCCAGCCCCTCCAGGGCCACCGATGGTGACACCAAGCCACATCCCGCAGCTCCAGGGCCACATCCCGCAGCTCCAGGTCCAATTCCATCCCCTCCAGCGGCTCCCCCAGCCCCTCCAGTGCCCCCCACACCCCCCATCCCCCCCACCTTCTCCCCGGTCATGGCGAAGGGCGCGTTGAACCACTGCTCGAAGGTGCTGCAGCTCTTGAAGATGGTGGGCAGCAGGAAGTTGAGGAGGGCCCAGAGCTCGGGCAGCTTGTTCTGCAGCGGCGTCCCCGTCAGCAGCAGCCGCCGCGGGGCCACGTAGTGCGTGTTGAGCACCTGGGTCAGCTTGCAGTGGTGGTTCTTCATGCGGTGCCCCTCGTCCACGATCATGTACTTCCAGCGGATCTGCGGGAGCGCTGGGAATGCTGGGGGTGCTGGGGGTGCTGGGGGGGTGGGGAGGGGACAGCCCCGACCCCAAAGGGAGGTCCCTGAGCTTGGGGGGGGGGGGGGGGGGGGGTCCCGAAATGTCCCGCAGGTTCTCTGGGAGATCCCTGAGATGGGGGATCCCCAAAATGTCCCACAAATCCCTGAGCTTGGGGATCCCAAAATGTCCCACAAATCCCTGAGATGGGGGATCCCAAAATGTCCCACAGACCCCTGAGCTGGGGGATCCCAAAATGTCCCACAGATCCTCTGGGGGATCCCTGAGCTGGGGGATCCCAAAACGTCCCACAGATCCTCTGGGAGATCCCTGAGCTGGGGGATCCCTGAGCTGGGGTGGCCCTAAACGTCCCAAAAATCTTCCTGGAGATCCCTGAGCTGGGGGATTCCCAAACATCCCACAGATCCTCTAGGAGATGTCCCCAAGATCCCTGAGCTGGGGGATCCCCAAACGTCCCACAGATCCCTGAGCTGGGGGGTCCCAAAATGTCCCACAAATCCTCCAGGAGGTCCCTCAGCTGGGGGATCCTGAAATGTCCCACAGATCCTCCGGGAAAACTCTGAGCTGGGGGATCCCTGAGCTGGGGTGTCCCAAAAATCTCCCTGGAGATCCCTGAGCTGGGAGATCCATGAGTTGGAGGATCCTGAAATGTCCCACAAATCTTCCGGGAGATTCCTGAGCTGGGGGATCCTGAAAAATCCCACAGATCCTCCAGGAGATCCCTGAGCTGGGGGATCCCCAAACATCCCACAGATCCTCCAGGAGATCCCTGAGCTGGGGGATCCCCAAACATCCCACAGATCCTCCAGGAGATCCCTGAGCTGGGGGATCCCCAAACATCCCACAGATCCTCCAGGAGATCCCTGAGCTGGGGGATCCCCAAACATCCCACAGATCCTCCAGATTCCGAGCACCATCCCAGCGCTTCCCATCTCCATCCCACCCCTGGATCCCAACCCCTCAGTGATGGGGGGGGGGCACAGAGAGACCCCGTTGGTAACAAACACCCCCTGGAATTCCCCCTGGAGAGGGATCCAGCCCAAAAAAAACCGGGAATTCCACCTCAGCTGGGGCTGCCCAGGGGGAGCAGCTCCCTGGGAGACACCCGGTGGGGGGGGGGGGACACAAAACCACCGGGATTTTTTTGGGGGGGGGAGGTGGGAAAAAAAGGGGGCAGGAACAGCCCGTTTGTGGGGAAAATCCCCCGGATCCGGCATTCCCAAGGCTGACCTTGGCCAGGATGTGCTTGTCCTTGATGATGTACTCGTAGG